GGCGGCCGTGCGGGCCCTGGTGGGTGAGCTCGACTCTCTCTTCACCGCCCTGGGCCTGCGGGAGGAGAGCTTCGCTGTGGGAGCCCTTAGCAGGGTGGTCGCCGCTGAGCTGGCAAGCTACGCCTCAGCCAGAAACAGGAGGAGAGCAGCCACCAACAAGGCATCTGTCATCTTCGTGGACAGGACGCTGGACCTCGCTGGTAAGAAATCCTCACCTGGTTTGGGCTGTCATTCTACAGGACCCATACCCACCCCACCGGGAGGGTGTCAGACAGTGGGAACCCCAGTGACCTGGTGTTACCAAAAATCCATATTCCACTTTGTACCGTGTCCTCCCATGGCTGTATAGCTCCAGTTCCGGGTCCTGGGTGGGATTGCTCTTGAGATCTGGTCTGCTAGAATTCACTTGTTTAGTGGTTACCAGGCAGTGGTGGTAGAACTCTGGGCTTCTTCTGTAGCTTGGAGAAATATGGCTGGGTTCAAAGCAGTAGTTCCTGTAAGTTCCAGATCATCCTGCTCCAGTAGGAAAACTTGGTGTTCAAGTATTTTTCTGGTGATACCCAGTGTCCTCCTTTCTGTTCCAAAACAGCTATTATCATGTGGGTTATGTATATGATAATCTTTTGTCCCAGTGTCAGTTTCATGCTTCCTGAATTAAAAGCATCCAGATCATCCATTACTCACGCTATCCAGTTGTTTGGCAAAGTATCTTACAGGCTCCTTCCATGACCCCAGATGCTGTGCCAAGACCCCTAGTGTCAGGTACATCCTTTCATGCAGAAATAGCTCAAATGGTTTGGTTAAGTGGTGGTCCCTGGGGATCAGTGAAAGTCAAACTTAGTCATACTTAACTGCCTAATGAACTGGTGCTGCTTTCCAAATTTGGAGAAAAGTTGACATAACTGAGCTGGTTACTCTGCTGTTCTTCTTGGTTTGTGTTTAACATGATCTTAAAGACTAAGCAGTGTGCAGTTCCCTTCCTCAGGTTAATGGTTTGAAGAGTAATTGTATTTAGCCACCAGGTATGCAAATGGTTCTTCATCTGGCAACACTGGGAGCATGTTTAATCCTATGGCCATGATGGTTGCTTGCACACCCTTGTATCCCAGTGGATCATAGAAATAAAGAGTAAGACTCAAGGCTGTGCTGCAAATCCATAATCTTGTTTCTAGCACTTCCATTTTGCTGCAAGCTAGAAACCTTAACTGTGCCTGTGTACCACCTTGAGGTGTGAAGGAAATGATCTGCATCTTTCAGACTAAGCCTTGTGGATTGGTCTGCTAAAAACTGTACAGTAAAGAATTCACTTTAGGGGAAGCAGGGGGTGTAGTTAGTGAGTTTCTGGCTGCTGTTAAAGAACTGGTTGGTTGACTTGGCAAATTGTGTCAGCTACAACCTGTATCAAATGTCACCTATTCCAGTTTGTAAGTTATAATGTAAAGAAAAAGTGAAATTACAACGGCATGATACGTGAGTTCTTGTATCCTGGAAGCTAGATGTTGGCCTGGCATGCAAGCTCCTATGTTACAGTGGTCAGATAAGTTGTTGTCACACGAACACTCAGTCTGTCTGTACTTTGGCAGCAGTCAAAACCATCAGCTGTGCCCTGAACACTGTTGCTCTTGAGAAGCTCTGAGCATTCTGTTGGCTGTCCTCAGAAGTGGTGAGTAGAGAGGATCAAAACTAGCCCCATGCACCCTTCTGAAGTCAGTGCAGTCTAAAGTGACTCCCTGTGATTTCTTGTCCTAGTGAAGTTTAACAATCTCAAGAATTGAGATTGTCTCAAGAGCTTCTTGTTCTTGTGACGTTTAACAATCTTTTCAGGCTTGGTTAATTTATGCAGTTGATTGGGGTGGCAGTCACTTTTAAAACCTCCATGAGATGTTTTGTGGTTGTTTTGATGAGGCATGGCAAAGGCCAGTAGCACTGGTGGACCAGTGGAACCTCCAAGAAGTATCAGTTATGGGAATGAGACAGAGGCTCTCATGGAAGCAGCTCCAGTACTCTGAGTCTTCCCCCTATGCCAAGAAGAAAGGAGGCATGTCAATAATTAATGTGGGTTTATTTGCATTTGAGGTGTTTCTGGTTTGACCAAATGTCTTGTTTAAATAAATGTTGCTCACATGCAGCGTGTGTGGAGAGGCAGATGTTGCTTCCAGTATGTGGCCTGGAGGTTCAGAAGATTATGGTTGTTTTTCCTGTGCAACTTTGCAACTGTTGCAGTGTGCCTTACACATGACTGATCTAGTAAGAGCAATGTAGGGATTTTGGAGAAATCAGCTTAGGGAGTCACAAAGACAGCCCAGCTCATTCCATCTGTATTTCACTGGTCTAACTCTGGCTGGGAATGTTAGAAAGGGAAGTTGCTGTTATTCTGTAATTGTTGCAGTTTTTGGTGAAACAAATGAGTAATAAACCAGCTGAGTGGTCAGATGTCCACACCACCCTGTGTTGGACACTTGTGCCTTCTTTGCTTTCTGTGGATAAAGGTGTTGCCATCACAGAGTTTGGCTTCACTTTTATTTTCCTTTTTCATCCTTGTTTCTCTTTTCAACAGTTTGCAATACAGTAAAGTAGATAGACCATGGAAAACCATGGCTTACAGCCTGGATACCTGGCTGCTGTAGAATTGCTGGAGACAGTCTTCTGCTTCTGCTATCCAAGAGCACTTAATAATCTGACCTTAGCAATGTACTTGATGTAAGAGCCGTGTTTGGATTTATGGAGCATGTGAAGCTAATTCAACTGTTGAAACAGATATTCTCTGTCTATGGAAATGATGAAAACATAAGAGCAGATAGCTGCCACACAGATGGACTTAGATGGAGTGGGACCATAGCCTGAGAGAACTTTTTCCTGCCTCTCAGTGGTGCTTCAAAAGTTCCCAATTTTCTGTTATTAAAGCTAGCACAAGCAAAACTAAGCTCAGCTCTGCTGTCCAGCCCTGTGTAGATGGTTGAACCGTAGCTTAAGTGGCAGGCAACAAATAACTTCAACTTGTTCCTGACCTAAAGGCAATAAGGTTTCTGATCCCTCTCTCTTGAATTTTTTAACTGTAATGTGTATAATGTTTTTCTGCTGTGACTTGGCTCACAGCCCTAATATTTTCTAAGTTGGTTGTAGAGCCTGTGTTGGAAGTTCATGAATGGAAAGAAAAGCATGTGTGTTTGAAATCAGGAAAATTGAAGAAAACATGCCAGCTGGAGTTCAGAGTTTCTCTTGGAATATGGTCAAATTGACATTTTATACTTTGTAACTTGGGTTGGTTTAGTTATTTCATGTTTGTTTCACCTGAACTGCCCTCAGTTCGTACAAAAGTGATATGATCTTGATTGTGGCATGCCATTGATAATTGTTTATTTTAATATTAGGCTGGCCTGTCTGGGTAGTTATTTATGCAATTTGTATTTAGTCCTTTTAAGCACAGCCCTAGTAGTTTATGCATGTGAGTGTATATATAAATATTTGCTTGGTTTTTTAATAACCATTGCAAATATTATTTAACAAGTTCCTTAGGCAAAGAAAAATGTTTTTCATGTCTAAATGTAAAATCAGTGAATATCTAACAGCTGTAAAATGAAGTTTAATTTAACAGTAATAGTAGTAATGCTAATAGTGCTTTTTAAATGAATCTTTCTGAAATGTTGTAGGTGCTTTTAACTTTACACATTTTAGAAATTAGTTTTACTTTTGTAGAAAAATATTTTTGGAAGCTAAATGTGATTTTGATATTAGGAGTACCAGTGTCCTTCTCCCCAGAACATGTAGTTATTTTCTTTTCAATTCCTTGTGTTTATTTGTTTTTCTAGCTATGCACCTGATAGTTTTTGGGGGTTTTTTTTGTTTTTTTTCCATTTTCTTCAGGAGCAGTTGGTCATCATGGTGACAATCTTGCAGAGAAGATTCTTTCTGTGCTTCCTAAACTTCCTGGCCACAAGACTGATGTAATGGTTAACATGGTGGAACTTACAGCACTGCAGACCACAGATGAAACTTGCAATATTATAGCACCTGGCTGCTTAGCACAACCAAAGTAAACATTCTTTTCTTCTTTTTTTTTTTTTTTTTTTTTTTTTTATATTTTTAGTGGATTTTCCCATTTTTTTTTTTTTTTTTTTTTGTATTTTTTATATTTTTAGTGTTGAATGTGTTTGTTATCTCTATGTGAAAAAATGAACAAAGAACAAGTCTTTAAAAAATGAAACAAAAGAAAACAGTCAAGCTTACAGCAAAACCCCATCTGGTCGTAATTCTGCTGGAATGTAATAGTCTGTATATGTACATTAAGTGAGTGGGCCAGATAAGACTTCCAAAAGTGGAAGAATCTCAAGACCTTTTAGATTTGGGTTGTTTAAATTGCTGTAGCTTACTGTAGCCAAAATCAGTACAGATTAACACCAAGAATTTTTGTGACATTTCTTTTTCTGCCTAATAGGTCGTGCAAACAGGTAGGTCTCAATGGTGACTTCCTTTTCCCATAAACCTCTTTATAAAGTTAGCTGGATGCTGAATTTAATTTAAGGTTATATCCCTGTTTTCAAACACAGTACCTGTGGAGAAGGAATATAAGGCACAAATTCAGGTATACAGACAGCTTCATGGGGGCCTGATTTTTACTTTAAAAAGAACAACCAAAAAGCAGTAACTTCAGACAATTGTACTTAGCTATGTATAATGTGTAGCTAAGACTTTACAAGTAAAGTGCATCAGATTTGATGTTTGACTTTCTACATTTAGTTGTCCAAACCAAAACTCTCCTGCAGCTTCTGTTACTATGTAAAAACAAGGAAACATACCAGGTGCTGGTTTCACTCCTCAATAAATATTTTTCTCAGCAGTGCTTTAGAAATTTATACAGTGCAAAGGAGATTAAAAGTTCTTTCTCTTTTACTATAATGCTCTCCTCATATAGTAGAAAATGTTTTTTTGAGATGGGCTATTTAATATAGTTTCTATTCTTCTCTTTTGATTTGTTTTGTGATTTTCCACCTGCACTGTATCCTTTTTCTTCCCTTCCCCCCCAACAATGATTTCACAGATTTCCACTGTTAGCTGCATATGGTCTTTATTTTCTGAGAGCCTCCAGATCCTTTGTCACCTTCCATCTCTCACATGTGCTGTAACTGGGTACGGTTTCTGCATTTTGTATTGCATACCTCTTTTCTTCCATAGAAGTTGGAGAGGAAATGTTTCCTCATAGACGTGGACTCAGTTGTAACTTGCTGCCAGGGTGACTAGCTTAAATAAAATTTGTTCTGGTTTGCTTCTCGCTGTCTGCTTTCCCACTGATTCCTGAAGTAGAAGTGAAATGTCTTTAAAGATCTGTCTACACAGTAAAATGAAGCGGCCATTGTCCATACTAGAACTTTATGGTATCTTTTTGTGCTAAATTTGAGTAGCTACCATTAATAAAGAAAATTCTGTCAGTGTGGATTAGGAAAAAAAAAAGATATTTACTGCCCTGAGATTGTTGACCTGTGCTACCACTCTATTCTTTCTCACATCATTATAGACAATGAGGAGACTAAAGGTAGTGCTGGTATGCCTTCTCATGACTAAATTATTACTTCAGTCATGTATTCATGTTTTTAATAACAGCTGACAGAGTTGCACTATGTTCTAAGGTGGCTAGTAGTATAGATTTATATCAAGGTTTGTTTGTCTATTTGCTGGCTAATGGGAAGGTGCCCTCTGTTAACAGTAGTTAGTTTTAACATATTTTGCAGTCTCATATGGACACAGCTGCTTAAAGATCAGCAGGGTTTGGCTACAAGATGCAAGTGTGGCAATGTTGGATGACAGCAGCTGATACCTGGTACCAAAGTGGTGCCATTGACACACTGATCTATAGCAGCTTCTCCAAAATACCCTCCCTCTGGTACAGAATCTGTTACACTGGAAATTTTTAGGAACAGATTAGGCAAATAATTTAAACAGTCTTAGTCTTGCCTTGTAGCACAGCAAAGGGACAACATGACCTCTGAAAATCTCTCAGGTTATCAATGTTCAGAACAGAAGAAGAGCTGTGGGCCTTAGAAGAGTCTCCAAACTCCAAGTGACACTGTTATGTTCAAACTGTTTTTCGCTTCTTCTCCAACTATATAATGATCAGGGATAGTTCCTAGTTTAAAATAGGCACTTCCAAACTAGCTTAAGACAGTTGATAAAGAGTGCTTGAAACCATGACAGTGGCTGAAGGTGGTAATTTCCATTCTGTTCAACAGGACTATTTTCAGTGTTGGCTTACAAATGGTAACATTAATCATCTTTGCTAGTGTAAAATGGTTGTTTTTCTGAAGCACTGAAATGGATTAAAAATTCTCACCAGTAGGTTTCTGTGTCAATTCCATAAGAAATTCCTTAGGACGCTCTCAGTTCCTCATCAGCTTGGTTGTTGCCCTTGGTAGCTGGCTCAGAAATGTTTCTTATAATTGAAAACTTAAGCCTTCATTTGTATTTGTAAATGATGCATGGCAAGGAGGGTTCCTCTGCTTGTAAATTTTCTGTTTACTCTGGTGAGTGAAAGTGCCAGCCCTTTCCCCAGAGACAGGACCAGCGACTTCAGTTACACCCAGATAAAATGTGTGGGGGCTCTTTCACATGAAATTTTGTGATCAGACTGTGGCATTTCAGACTCACATATTCAGAATATTTTTAAAATGTTTTCATTGTTTTCTCTCAAGTAATATTTGAGCATGCTGTAGTGAGGGGAGAGAGAGAGTCTGGTCCTTGCATACAGCTTGCTATATTTAACTTCTCTTATGGCATGCCACTCCAGCTGAAACATCTGGGCGCAGTTACAGAGTTAGCAAACTGAATTAATGAATAATTTATGGTTGGTGTGGTGAAGTAAAGCAGGGTTCTTTTCTCAAATCTAAGGAAATAATGGGCTTCTTTAAAGATTTAGATGAAAATGTAAATGCCATATGCTGCTTGAGTAACTGTACTTTGAAGGTGCTCTCTTTGTGAGGGAGGAAATTTTTTTTAAAAACCCACCAAACTATTCTACAGTTCTTGATTTTTTTTAGTTTTATTAGCCTCAAAAATCTCACAGAGTAATTGTTTGCCCTACTGTAGTCACTGACATGCTGCTGTTCCTGTGTGGATGATAGCAGAGTTATGCTCTTTCAGAATTGTGCCAAAATATTTGATGCATTTTTATATGCAAATGGATGTACACAACAGAAGGGAAACAGTTCATAGGTATTTATTTGAAAGACACCCACTCTTGATGAGGACTGCTTGTGTCTGATTTAGAAAAGTAGAAGCCACCCTGTCCTTTCAAACAGATGATGCATAATAGAGGTGAAGTTGTAGTGACAGCTTAGTGGTAGGGGTGATTTGAAAAAATTGATTACAGTTCTCTTGCTGGTCTTTGTACTTTGATAACCCTTACAGTGTTTTTGGAGAACTTCTTCCAGATTTCAGCTTCTGATTTTAAGCATGCATGTAGTGGCTTCTAGGTGTTGTCTGTTTGGATGAACGTCAAGCTCTGTGTATTTGTGAGCAATCCATCCTGTAAATTTGGTAACATTTTGGTCACAATGTTTCTCAAAGCACTCATCTTGTGTTTTTAAGATCCTTTTTTAGCATGTTGAAGCCTCTTGTTGTCAGTAATTAGTTTATTTTGATGGAAGTTTATCTTTTCTGACTCTTGTGAGCTGGGAGCTGAGGTGCATGAAGCCCCTGTGGCTCCCTAAAACCCCAAATGAGGGTTCAGATGCCTGACTCCTGATCACAGGCCTGTGGTGTGTGAGAAATAAAGATTTATGTACACTGTGGGCAACCAAAGGGATATCTGTTTACTCTTTTTCAATATGCTCTTTTATTAGCCAGGAACACTTTTGATGTGCTCTCCTATTTTGCTGAATAGACTGAATATTTAATTTGCTTATGCACATTTTAAGAACTCTCTGAATGAAGGTTTCTTGCCTGTTTTTTCACTCTGCTTCCTTTCTCCAATGTTTGAAGTTTGCAGACTTCTTAGAATTCAGTCTGGTGTTAAAATCTTTTTAAAAGTCCAGATTTTTTATTTAAAATATGTATGTGTTTAAATCAACATACAAAGAACCATTGGACTCCTACAACAAGCATATTTCCATAAAGATGAAATACTTTAATGTAACACATTTCATGTTTGGGCTGCTATGCCTAAAGCAATTCAATGAGGAATATAACTGAGCTATTTGGGCACTTTTGACAGAGCAGGTGGAGCCTCTAAATCATCTGTATTTACATTAGGGGGAGAAATAACAAGTTGAGAATGAAGTGGCCATGTTGATGAGTGTGATGCAGAAAGCATTTTTATGCAGGCCAGATGTTTGAATCACAGCACCCACATACATCTTTCTTTAGGTCTTGTATTAGGAGTGGAAAGGTAGGTGTGATGGGGGAGTGGGTTAAAAATTAGGACATTCCTGGACATAGAATGATGAAATTTCAGTGTCTCATGTTAGTGAAAATACATACTTCTCCCAATCATTCTTAGTTCTGAAGTTGTTATTCACATTTTGGACTGATCAGTACTTTTTAAAAATGCTACAATTTGGATGGAGAAGAAAGCCTTGCTTCAGTTGCATCTTTGCATTTGGGTGTGATGTGATGATTTAGTGCTCCTCTGGTACTGGTGGGGCATGGATAACCCCAAACCTAAAGGAAGACCATGAGGTGAAGGCACTTGTATTCCAGTCCTGGTTCTGCTTTCAGCTTGCAGCATGATCTCAGACAGGTCACTTAATTCCTTTCTGCCTCTGATTCCTCTTGTAGTTCTTCTCCAAGCAACTTGTTTTCCAAACCAGGAAAACAGGGAGTTTCTCAGCATGCAGATTTGCATACTGAAGGCAGAAAAATCCTAGGGGTTCTGATGCAAGTAACAGTGCAGATGGGTACAAGGGGAGTTAAGGTGTCAGGACTACTGAACACAGGATCTCCATTTGTGCTTTCTTTACTTCTGTGTGCTTTCCACTCCTACTCACAGTGCTGTGTTGCCCTGGGGAGGGGAGGCAGTTTTGAGTTGCATTCACCTGTTCCTCT